TATATACGCTCAAGAACAACTCAAACTTCACAAATTGGCTCTAGAAAGCTATGGAAAATAATGTTGTTTGGATGCAATGATAATATGAATAAAGCGAAGTGAATTGATGAGAAAAGCAGACCCAAACACCCCTTTTTATAGTGCCAAAATAGGCTCCAACGGACCAATACATTAAACGGGTGATTGGCTTGATTTATGGGATTGAATAAATTTGGGATCTGTAGGATATTGGCTTCCCATCGATGTTTGGAACTTACCCATCGCTGTTAAGCCAATTTTCCTTCAGTTTTGAAGCCAACGGTTACCTACCCATCATTGGGTAGATGCTTCCCATCGCTGGGTGGGAGGTTGACTTTCAAATAAGGAAAGAATCAGCCTTAAATGACTCGCAATGGTCATGCCTAACCATCGATGGTTAAGCCTTCCCATCGCTGGGTTCCCATCGATGGGTAAAGCTTCCCATCGCTGGGTAAGGGCATTCTGCCTTGTGGTAATGTTGCACCAAGGCTTTAACAGCGATGGGTAGAACTTCCCATCGATGGGAAGATCTTCCCATCACTGGGTGGCATGATTCTGGAATCCCAGGATCACTTACCCATGCATGGGTTAAATCTACCATCGCTGGGTAGATGGCTAGCCAGAACCATGGCCTAGCTGACCGGCGCTGAAACCCGACCGAAAAATGCAAAGTTCTCCAAAGTAAAAACTAAGTATAGAAAACACTTATTTAATGTATTTTGATGTCAAAACAAGCTTTGTAAGTTGAAAACCACGTCGTTAAGGTAAAAACCACGGTTGACCAAGTCAACACCGTACACGGGTGGTTTTCACCAAACGACAAAACCGAAAGGTGGTTTTCATGATGTTTTGATTGGAGAACCATTTAAATTCATTAAAAAACAATTCCCACACAAAAAGACTCGAAAAACACTTCATTTAAGTAAAAACCACGGCTAGCTAAGTTAATGTCGTTTCACATGGTTTTTATCAAACGACAAAAAACGAAAGGTGGTTTTTGAAGTGTTTTTGATGAAAAACTATTTAAATGTGCCCAGAAGTAAAAACCAGTCATAAAAAGTTGAAAACCATTTGGTTAGTTCGGTCGCCAAAAACCAACGCCGAAAACCGAATGCCGAATGCCGGTTCCTGAAACCCGAACGCCGGATGGCTTGGTTTTTGGTTTGGGCGAACACCAAGTGTTTTTAATGTTTTATACATCTTTGAAAAACATTTTTATGATGTGTGAAATGCATTGAAAAGAATTTTAGCCTAAAGAGCCAAGGTGTAAAGATTGGGTCGGTCTTGATCACAATAAAGACCGACTCAACGATGCTAAGACTAAGGTCTTCGTTCTTGGTCTTCGTTTGGCTCTTGTTCTCTTTCTTATCATCTTTGGTTCTCGCCTTGTATATTCAATGACTTGTCTCGTTCACGGCGGTTTGGCATTATCAAAACCTGTCATAACAACGAACGC